CTGCTGGGCTCTCTGCTCTTGATTCTTGACCAAAGTCTGACTAAAAGCCCCAACAATAGCCATGCCACTGCCTCAATATTCAGCTGCTCTGAAATTTCTTTTGAAAGATTAATCAGTCCACAATGCTTAACTTTAGTCTCAGGCAGTCTCTGGAACTTTTTTGTTTCCTAGTTACTATCTGTAGTCTTACCTACATGCCCTTCTAAGCAGGTGGCCCTCTGGGGTGACCTTTAGGAAACCTGTGAATTTGGAGCAGATATTGTCTTTTGCATATATATATCTTTTATTTTCCTCAGCAAGCTGTATGTATTTGGTTTACTGATACCCACAATATTTAAAAAACTTTTTTTTAATGTATTTAGTAGAGTCTACAAGGTCTCACTACACAGACTGGACTTGTAGTGATCTTCCTGTTCTCAGCCTCCTAAGCGCTGGGGTTACAGGCACGCCCCACCATGCCCAGTCTCAGTTGCTATCTCAGCGTGCCCCGGGGGCAGGGCCATCAGGGCACACTGGGGGTCAAACCATGGTCCCTGCGCCTGCCTAAGCAGGCGCTTTAATCCACTGAGCTATTTGGTTAGCCCTCAGGCAGTCTCTTGGCACAAGCAAAATTCAGACAAACTTTTTGCCAAGCCATAACACAAATCATTTGGAATCCAACAACCAATACAGTCCTTCTCAGAAGAAACCTCCGCAGCCTGGTCTTTACAGGCAGGATTTGTATCAGCCTCTGGTCTTCTGAGCTCAGCTAAAGCTGTTCTGTGCTTCTCTTGTAGGTGACATCTCGAACCTATCTCTTCCCATAAACCATTCCCAAAATCTTGTAATCCACATGGTCAGGTTTAGCCATAGCAACAACCCCACTTCTCTGGTACCAAATTTTGTCATGGCTTTTTTTTTTTTTTTTTTTTCAAGGGATATAACATAATACAGGACACATTTTTATAATATTTTATAATGAATCACCCAATGAATTATATACAACAAGTGCAGGAAAACTAACCACACTAAAGAATGCAGCTGAGAGCCTAGAGTCCACAACAAAATCTCATGCAGGCCCGCTTCATGGATCTCTGCTAGAAAGGCCCAAAGGTGGAAGCCAGAAAGTCTATGCCAGCCAGATGAAGGATCTGTGCTAACAGGCTGAGGGATCTGAACTGGAGCTAGGAAGCAGCGCTGAAGGTTAAGCACCAGAGCTCCCCCAAAGGTACCACAGCCCTGTTCAGCAACAGTGAGATCCCAAGCTCCACCCAGCTGAATTCCCATAAGGAAAGCCAATGTGACAAGCCTCTTTATGAGGTTGAGCAGCGCACCATCTTCCTCTCTGAAACCAGAACGTGATGCTCAAGACAAGGACCAAATCTTCTCCAAAGTTTGTCAGGAGGGCTGGTGAGATAGCTCAGCAGTCTAAAGCTCCTGCTTAGGCAAGCTTAGACAAATGTGCAGGGTCAGTGGTTTGATCCCTGGCACCATACACCGCACCAGCCCCTGGTGTGGGCTGAGCTGGCCAGAAAAAAACAAAAACAAAAACAAACAAGAACAAAACAAGTCAAAGCAAAACAAAAATTCACTGGGAAAGCCAGCATGACAAGGCCCTCCGGCAGAACAGCCCAAGAGAACTAGAGGATTCCAACAGTTCCAAAAGCTTCTCCAAAGAGCATCCCTAACGGTGTCAAGGCACTGATTCTCCTGTTCTGCCTTTATGCTACTGGCAACAATCTTCAGGTGGGCCTCCTGTACCGAGCACCATGCTAGTTTAATTCAGCTGGGTGTAGTAAGTTGACCACCTGTTAGAAATCCACTCTAGTGAATCAAGGATCTAGACATTAAAACAGAAATATTAAATCTACTAGAAGAAAGAATAGGTAAAACTCTTGAAGACATTGGTGCAGGCAGACTATGAATAAAACCCCATAGGGACAATCACACAGGAACAATTGGAAACACATCTTATTAAAAAGCTTTTGCACATCAAGAGAAATCACCAACAGAGTGGAGAGACAATCCACAATGTGAGAAACAATGCTTGTCAAGTGTTCCTCAGACAAGGGATTATTATTGAGAACACATAAAGAACTCAAAAATATCAGACCTCCCAAATTTAAAGACCCAATCAAAAAATGGGCATCTGAGATGAAATCACTTTCTCAGATGAAGAAATACAAACAGCAAATAAATATATGATAAAATGTTCAACATCATTGGTCACTTGATAGATGCAAATTAAAACAACAGTGAGATTCCATCTCACCCCAGAAAGAACAGCTTAACATCATGGCTTAACATCAATGGTTGTGGAGAAAGAGGAACTCTGCGCTGTTGGTGGGAGTGTAGACTGGTACAATCAGTGTGGAGACTCCTCAAAAACCTAGGATTGAAGGTCCCATTTGACCAAGCTATTCCTCTGCTGGGTATCTTCCCAGAATAATTAACAAGATCCTACCACAGTGATATATATGCACCCATGTTTATAGCAGCACAATTTATAGTAAATAAATCTTGGAAACAATCCCAATGTGCATCAACAGGAATGGATACAAAAGACAGTATTTTTATACAATGGAGTACTACTCAGCCATAAAGAAAGACAAACTGGAGACTTTTATAGCTAAATGGATGGAACTCAAGACCATACTCAGAAGTGAAATAGACCAGATGCACATATGCAGGCATCATATTGCCTCCCGAGTGTGAAGAGCTGGGAGCTTAATGAGAGCCAGAATGTACAACAGATCGTGTAAAATGGGAGTTATCCAAAAGAAAACAAACTGGGAAGGGCTGGGGAGATAGCTCAGTAGAATAAGAGCTTGCCTGGCAAGTGCAAGTTCCTGAGTTCAATCCCCAGTACCACAAAAGAAAAAAAAATTGTCTTACGGTTAAAAAAAAAAAAAAAGAAAGAAAACAAACTGGGATGGGAAAAAGAAAAGAAGGAAGGGAAAAACAGATTAAGATAGATCGACAGAAGATAGTTAAGATAGTTTTTTTTTTTTTTTTTTTTTTTTTTTTTTTTTTTTTCAGCACAATGAATGTTATTTTTATCCTGTATCACAGAATCCACTAATAAAAACATCCCGTAAAACCACCTGAAGGCCGTGTAGACAGGCGCCTGTCAGGAGCGAACTGTCTAAATCTGGTCCCCCTCTCCTGATACCTAGTTACGCGTGCCCAATATCCCAAGCCCCAGGGGATCTCCAATCCAGGCCACTTCTGATGCCGTGGATTCCGGACAGGAGCTGTCATCTTGGCTCTGTGGTGCTCAGCTGCAGCCCGCGGCAGAACTGTGACGGCCCCGTGATAATGTTGTACCTCAAGCATGCGCCTGCTCAACAAGCAGAAGGCAGCACTTCTGAACAGCTGAGGAGTTGGTGCGAGGGGACGCACATCACGAACAGGTGTTGCTTTACTCTGTACTTTACAGGGGGCAGCCCAGCCCTGGTGCTTGGTTCCTCTGTCCTCTTGATGTCTGTGCCAACCACAGCGCAGGTGGCGCAGTCTGCAGAGGTCCCCATGCCCCAGGCCTCAAGCTGTGCCTACTTGCATCACTAACAGCTGTGATGGGCAGCAGGGCCCTGCAGCAGACACGGGTGTTGGGCACTGTGCTGGCGGAAGGGCAGCGGACCAGGCCAACGTCTGCCCTGGCCTCGTGGTCGGGCTGGTCAGGTGGCAGAGGCTGCAGCCTGAGGTGCGTCCCCTACTGGAGGCTTCTCACCAAGAGCCCATCCCCTGGGCACTGTAACTGAGAGCCAGCTGTCTTCTGAGGCAGTCACCCTGGAATGACCTCGACCTTGGGAGAATCCTCAACTTCCCAGTCCAACCTAACTAGGGCATTCCCTTCCATGCTACTGAGAAAACTGACATGGGAGTAAAGGGACAGTCACAGTGTGATTTTAATCAGGTTCCAGGATGATGAGATGGTTCCCAAAAGTACTGGCAGATGCAGGGTGGAGTGGGAGAAGCTTCCAGAACACTCTGCTGGGCCTACTTGGTCCAGCTGACTTTGGGGATGTCGTAGTGCTCGGTGAGGGTGTCCAGGTGCCTGTTGAAGTCCTCCACACGCTGTTTGTGGGTCTTGGATGCTTTCTTTAGGATCCGTTCCATTTGCCGCTTCTCCTGCATCTTCTCGAAGGCCGCCTGCGCCGGCGTCCGCTTGTCCAGGCAGCGCCGCTTCTCTTCCTCATTCCAAGATAGTTATTCTACTAATTTCTCTTAATGCATTGAAAAGAAAGGTTAAAAACCTCTATCTTGGGCTGGGGATATAGCTTAGCAGTACACCATTTACTCGGTAAGTGCAAGGTCCTGAGTTTGATTCCCAGTACCACCCCCCCAAAAAAAAACAAAACCCACAAAAAGCCCTGTATCTTGTACTTCTAGCAACTAATTTACTTTAAATTTTAACTTTAAAAAATATCTCTGGCCAGTAAGTTCACACCAAAATCTAAAAAATATATATATGCACTGCTACAGCAGGAATCATCTCCCTCACCAGCGGTACTTACTGACACAGACAATGCTGTCCTCTCCAAATCTGCTTGAGCAGTAACATTTTCATTATCACTCTGTTCTTATCAACTTGCAAGTAAGAATGCATGGGATAGATGGGTACATGTCTTCTACACCACTGAAATGGGCTGAGGTCAGGGTTAGGAATATAGCTCAGTGGAAGAGCATGTACTTAGCATGTGTGATGTTCTGGGTTAGATCCCTAGCAGCTACTCTGCCCCCAAATGACTGTAATCATAAATGGTATAGAATGCAATACTCTAAAGATGCACTGTTCAATAACGAAGCCACTAGACACAGGACTTTATTTAAATTTAAATGTAATTTAAAATAAAATGAGAAATTCAATTTCTAGTCATGCTAGCCATGTTCTGAGTACTAAGTAAATAATGCCATTCGGAACCATTCTGTCACTGCAGAAAGTTCTAGAGACGGTGCTGCCTTAGGAGCTGGGAATACAGACCAGGACTTACTTACACAGGCTTTGGTCTTTTTCTCACCTTATCCAGTTGACCTGATTTGTTATATTTCTCTTCTGCAAAGACCAGCTCCATCTCACTCATGTCATTGTTGAGGATAAAACAAACTTTAGATTTGTAGAATTCAGGATCATCTGTTTCAAAGTACTGAGGAGACAGACATAGTGCAGAACATGAACACTTTTTGCCTACAAATGAAATATAACTGGCTACAGCCAATTATCCCTTCAGCCTTAAGAAAGATCAGCTCAGCTGGGTGTGGTGGGGCACACCTGTTATCCCAGCACTTAGGAAGCAGAGGCAGGAGAATCTCCATGAATTTGAAAGCAGCCTGGGCAATACAATGAGTTCAATGCCAGCCTCAACTACACAGTTAGACCCTGTCTCAAAACGCCAAAAACAAAGCAAAGCAAAACAAAACACAAACCCAACAGCTCAGGTGGAATGATCCCATTTAATGGCCAGGCACCCTTGGTGGAAAATGCACACCTAGCACCTTACCTTGTAGTGCATTCGTAGTCCTATGATCTGGGCCAGGAAAGAACGGGTGAAACGAGCTCGGACCAGCTGCTTGTAGGCTCCACCCAGAGAGGACTCATACAGACACTTGCCTACCAGCCGCCCGGCAAACTCATACATCTTGAGGCGCAGATGGGCTGGGCGGTTAGGGTTGGGATGCACCTGTCAAGGGAAGACAGTAGAAGGTCTGGCCCAGGCTTCGTCAAGCTGTGTTCTGGAAAGCCCTTCCTGCCCCACCTTGCGCTAGTCTGGATCTGGAATGACTCCATGCACTAAAGGTATGGTGGCCAGCCCGCAGCAGTGTGCAGAAAGTATGAGCATTGAGGGGGGGGGCCTTGGGCAAGGTCCGAGGCCCTGGCACAGGCGCCTGAAGAGCACTGTGGTGCTGCTGCCTTCCTCTTTCTTTCACATCCTGGCCATGAGATGAGTGGTTCTGCCACACACTGTTGCAATGATGTGCTGCCTTGCCCCAGGACCAAAAGAAAGGGGAGCAACTGGTCAGACTGAAGCCTCCAGAACTGCAAACCAATACAAACCTGTTCTCTTTACGTGCTAATTATCTCAAGCATTTGTTATAGCAGCAGAAAACCAACCTCTCATGCCAAAGAAGCAAGAGTTTCCATGAGAATCAAAAAGCCCCCCAAATGGCATTAGTCTTTTGGTAGACACACACTGAGTAATGCTAAGTGAATGGAGGTGAAAGGTAACAACAAACCTTTATCAAGCTAAATAACCTCAGAGTAAGTTTGTTGTTCCTAGATGCATATGAAAGTTAATCAGTGAATGATACGGCACCTTTTCTCTAACTCAGACCATCTTTCAGCCAATGCCTACTCTTCTACTTGCCTAAAAGTCTGGTACGGTAATCAATTACATCAGGCATTTTTTAGAAAGTGGCTTAATTACTGTTAGTAAAGCAGCCACTGAACTATACTGCTTTTTTATTAAATATTCAACTGTCTGCACTTTCTTATTTTTCTCATAAAATAATGAAGGCAAAAAGAGAAGGCAATCTTATTAGCTCACAATGTAAGCTGCAAATTAGGAACAGGACACAGATTTTTAGACTCCCAGGGTTTCATAACTTCAACGCCTGTGTATTAATTGTAACAGAATCCACATTTACCACCCAGCCATGGGAAGTCACAGACTCACTAATGCTTGGTTGTTGTCGCTGAATCGGGTGAACAGCTGACTGGTGGTATCAAATAGTGCTTTGCCGATGAGCTCAAACCACTCCCGGCGAGGCCCTCCCCAGTCCAGAGCTGAAAAGTACAATGACAGTACAGGTGACTTGGGTCGACCTTCTACCGCTTTGTTCTTTTAGCCATCATCTTTCTCTTCCTGCATTTCCTCTACAGTACTACCTCACTGTTTCCCCTTTACAGCTCACCTGAATGGTAGGCACTGTAAAAAATTCGACCCCTTTCTGTAGACTTAGAGTTAATATGACCACTAACCTAATGGAAACACCGGAGAGGAGAGCAGAGGCCGGAGCACACCCTGCTGGGTGTGCTGTTTGTTACTCGGCCCTCAGGCGCATGCTCCTGGAGCTCTCCTCCGGCTCCCTCCCATGTCTCTGCTCTACAAGTCCTGCCATGCCTTATGGCCAGCAAACACTTTTTTTTCTTTCCTGACATATGGAAGTTGGGTTGTTTTGAGGAATGGGCATGTGAGTGGATGTTTTTTCCTCCCCTGTGGAAAGGGAGCAACACAGAGGATACAAGTAGACAGAAAAAATAAAAGAAAAAAAGAAATTTTAAAACTGACCTTCCTCGTCTTGAAAAACCACCTCAAAGTTCTTGCTCCAATCGGAAATAGAGAAATTTCGAGTGGCCTTCAGAGACTGAAAAGCAGGAAAGGAAGGGAACTGTCAGACACTGGCCTGCTAACGACACACACACAGCACGCTGCCCCTGCTGCCTGCTGAGCCAGCCACTACATGCAAGAGATACAGTAGTCACAGATAAGCTTGAATAATAGCCTCTTAAACTTAAAATGTACATATCTCTGAAAGAAACTTAAAAATTTTTTTAAAATAATATGATTTGCCTTTATACTATCACTTCAATAGAAAGCCAAAGTTGGTCTTAAACAACGTGCATTTTATATCAATGAAAAAATTCTTGCCAAAGTTAAAGAAAGAAAAAAAAACCTTAAGTCAGCAAACTGTAAACAAGAGCACCAAGGAGTCCTGGTTTTCAGTAGCGTCTATCCGCTACATGTCTTTTTTTTTTTTTTGGTACGGGGGATTGAACTCACGACCTTGCACTTGCCAGGCAGGTGCTTAAGCCACTGAGCTATCCGCCCTCCGCTAGCCGTCGTACTGCTCAAGGCGAGAATCAGACAGGGAGCCGTACCACATGGAGAATGTGGCCGAGAAGTGGCTTCCAGTCACACCTACTGGAGCCGAACACCACAAACACTTTCTGTACAGGGACCTTCTCATTCCTGGGGAACGTCAGGCCCATGCCAGGGTCTGTGCAGCGGAGACAGACACACATTAGGTGTTCCTTTTCCATCAGACCAGATGACAACAAAAATCACTTCCCTTTCATCCAACAAGGAGCCCTTCTATTCCAGGGATTCAAGAATAGGAACTTTCTTCCACAGCCACTACTTCTACCTCCCTACACAGGAGACTGTTGAAGTGTTAATTCCCCACAGACCTGAAACCCACTACACTATCCAGTTTCCCCTCAGTAACACACTTCTAAGTATCTGCCCTGTTGTGAGGATAATTTTTTTTAATTCTTTTTTTGTAATGTACGTATTTGGTACAGGGTCTCACTTACTATGCAGCTCGGACTCGTAGTGATCCTGTCTCAGCCTCCCCAGGGCTGGGATTACAGGCATGGGCCACCATGCCTGGTTTTGGAGCTGGCACAGCATGTGGTACGGGGGATTGAACTCAGGATCTTGCATTTACCAGGCAGGCACTTAGACCGCCAAGCTATCTCCCCAGCCCGTCAGGATAATTAAACAGGAAAAAACTAATCTCCAATGGATTGTAAAGATAGCAACTTAGGCTACATAAAAAAGACTACTTTCAGGATACAAGCAAATATGAAAGAGGTTGGAAAACTGGCAGCTGCTGAGATGAAACTTTACATACCGATTCCAATAAGGCATGTCTGCTGACCTTCAGGGTGACTTTAGAATGTGGTCTCTTCATATGTACCTGCCGAAGCTCTCTCTGGAAAAAGTTCACCTTGTCCTGAAAGGTCTCGGAACCTCCTGAAAAGGAGCAAGCTCCATTATGGTTACAGCCTTCTTAGGAGATACTTGGAAAATCCCTTCATATGCTCATGGATCTAGGGGAGCTAACGTTGTTACCTTCCCAATCAACATTCCTGTCCAGCCTTACCAATGTTCTTATGTAGGGAGCGGATGAAAGTGGCTGCAAGAATGTTCCTTTCCTTGCAGCTAAGTTCCACAGGAGGTTGAATGCCATCATCGACCACCAGGGTGAGGAGTTTATGAACAGGGTCAGGGCCAAGGTACGAAAACTAGCAGGAGAGAAAAGGAGTTAGTTTGTAAAACCCTTGAGCCCTCGCCAGGTGTGGTGGCACACACCAATAATCTCAGCACTTGGGAGGCTGAGGCAAGAGGGTCATTGTGAGTTCAAGACCAGCCTAGGCTACAAAGTGAGCTCAAGAACAGCCTGAACTGCATAGAGACCCTGTCTTAAAAAGACAAACTGGGGCTGGGGAGATGGCTCAGTAGAATAAGCGCTTGCCTGGCAAGCACAAGGGCCTGAGTTTAGTCCCCAGTTCTGCCAAAAAAGAAAAAGACATTTTTGTTGGGACATTGAGCCCAACAAAAATCTTCCATATTACCACCCTGTGACAACCAACGAAACAAGATAAACTTGTTTTCTCTGAGTTACTGCCTACCACAGGTATATCTCATACTTTAAACCTCAATATTCTACAGTTCAAATTTTATTCTAAATTATTTGAACTCAAAAGATTGCCTTTAAATAAGGGTCAGACAATACTACAGACCTGACAAAATATAAGAAGGGTGAAAGTACTAAGGATATTTAAAAAAAAGAAAGAAAAAGAAAAAGAAAAAAAAGAGCAAAATTTACTCCAAACTGGCTGGGAGAAAGAGACTTACATAAAATAACAACAACAACAAAAAAAGCCTTTTTAGACAAAAGTTTAGAACCCAAAAGTAAAATAAAAATAGGAGAAAGAGGCCGGGGAGATGGCTCAGTGGAATAAGCGCTTCCCTGGCAAGCGCAAGGGCCTGAGTTCAATCCCCGGTTCTGCCAAAAAAAAAAAAAAAAAAATAGGAGAAAGAATGAGTTTCATCAAACTGGGAGATTCAGTTTGGGCCATAGGCACCAATACTCCTTCTGTAAACTTAGTCCTAGAAGCCAAAGGTAACTGGTGAGGTACTCTGAACTGCTAACTCCTCTTCCTGTAGGTCTTTCTAGGATTTACAGATTCTTTGGGCCAGTTAGTAAGGAAATAGTGATTCTTTATTTCAAAGTGAATTTTGTACGTACAGGAAAACTTCCAAGCACTGAAAGCCCCCTAGGAAAAAAGACAAGGCTTTAATATTCCAGAGCTGAAGTGTGTTCACACGGATCTGACATAATAATCAACTTACTTTTGTTCCTGGGCACACTCGGAAAGTGTAAAGGCGCCAGGGAATGATTTTCAAGTAGAACTCCTTCACTGAGAATTGCTGGAAGACCAACATACAGAAAATGAAGTTACTGGTAATAAAAAGCTCCTATCTGGTAGTATAATTCAAATACAGCATACTGGGATTCAAATATAGTACTAGAGTATCAGTCTACATTTCTTACTATATCCTCTTTTCCTCCCTGGATAAAAAGGGTCTCTTACTCAGTACTAAAATAAATGTCAGTTTTACCTTTAAAAAGCCAAACACAAAAATATTACTCTGACACTCCAGTTTTAGAGACATTTCAAAATCTTAATCTTATGTCTTCCTATAATTTCAAAATACCTGGAATCAGGTTTTCACTTTATGAGGCAAGAACACTCCCCTCGCACCATTAAGCTGCTCAGGATGACTTATCCCAGGACTACAGATGGGGTACCAGCAGCCAATATTGACTTTTTTTTTACCTACTTGGATGGTAGCAAGGACTTGCTAGAATTGGGGAGACAGAAAGCTGTGGGAGGGTGCAAGGAAGGTGAAGTACAGTGTTGGGGGGCTTCACAAGTTCACCAGAACATCTCATGTAAAGATAAAGACCTTATGCCATTAATGTAAAAGAAAAATAATTCATTAACGTAAAAGCCAAAGCACAACAACTACTGTCTGAACATGTGGAGGCTCAGGCTGTCCCCAGGGCCAGTTCAGAGTCAGGTTCCTTTCACTCATCACTCCACCTATTTCCCTCATTGCCATTCAATAAAAAAAAGCAAGCTAGTTTTTAAAAATGAAGAATGGTACACAGAAAAATGTTCCAATAGAACTTGAACTCAGTTTCAGTTATGAGATTAAAGGAATGTTCAACAGCTTCATTTTTATGAGGACTGAATAACAAATTATAAATACTCAAAAAAAAAAACTCTCTAATACAAAGTGCCTCTGAGCTCTGGGTCTTGGGAAGTTCACCTTCTTCTCTTTGCCAAAATTTCTTTATTTTAATCCTGTAGCCTGATAGCAACATTCATTTACAGCAATTTCACAAATCACAGAACAAAAGATCAAACTGTTTCACTATAGAACAAGGGATAAAGAGTGAATTTATTCCAGTGAGAAGTTTGTAATAGCTAGAAGTAGCTTTTCTTGCTACTCCTAAGAATTATGCCTTTACTACCTCCCCCAAAGCAATCAAAGGGCGCAGGTGTTCTACGGTGTTCCACAGTGCCACAGGACACAGAACCTTCAGAGATTCAGTTTAGTTCAAACCAAACACCTGCAGCAGCAGAGGACGCATAATCTGCTTTCCTTGAAGTAGCCCCTACTTGCATCCCAGAACCCCTACAAGTGGAAAATATTGCCCTACTGACAGACTGCTACTTTGTGGCTTGTTACCAAATACCAGTAACATGTAGGCTCAAGAAAAGGTTTTCTAAGGCAAACATGAGATTCTGACCTTTGGTGACACATAGCAGTACACCTTCTTTGGCTTCTTCACTTTCTCAGGCGTATGGCCCTCAGAGGGTGAGTCCTCCTCTTCTTCCTCCGCAGCAGTGGAGGGCCGGCGCTGTGAAGAGCTCACGTGCACGGGTGGCAGGTGCCAAGGTGTGCTGGGACAGCTGGCAGCGTTATGAAGATAAGCCTCAAAGTAAATACTCACTCCTGAGGTGGACACATTGCGTTCGACGGTATTTCTCTCATTCTCTGAAGTATAATGAAAGTAAGGTTTAACGAAGGAGTCGGGAGAAAAAACACTATCACTATTTAGTTCAGAGGACAATAAACCAAGTATAGTCCAAACATCAGAACATTTATCAGGTAGGTCAATAGTGCACATGCACAAAGAAGAAATGGCCATAGGAACAGGATTACATCACAACTTGCAACTCACCACTTAGGACAATAATATCAAATTCTCCATTACTGATTGGCTGATTTTGGTATGAAATGCAGGCATGGAAGCAACCCCGAGAGTGCAGGGTAAGTCGCAAGAACACCTGGCAGGTCTGCCTGTTGGATGTCACTGACTTCTCAAATGAAACTCCAGTACTCTCTTCTTCTTGAGGGCCTAGCTACAGGAGGAAAACAAACTATATTTAAGAAATTTTCCGGGCTGGAGAGATGGCTCAGTGGTCTAAAGCACCTACTTGGAACTAGCTTGGCAAAGCATCAGGGACCGCGGTTCAATCCCCCAGCACCACATGCCAGCCAGCCCCGCCCCCTGGTGGA